TCTCTCTCTCTCTCTCTCTCTCTCTCTCTCTCTCTCTCTCTCTCTATCTCTCTCTCCTCTATCTCTCTCTCTCTCTCTCTCTCTCTCTCTCTCTCTCTCTCTCTCTCTCTCTCTCTCTCTCTCTCTCTCTCTCTCTCTCTCTCTCTTCTTCCGTGGCGTCTCTCTCTGCCCGGAGCAGCCACCTCTTTATCACCAGCGCCACACTCCCACCAGGAGCGTCCCCTCCGCAATGATTCCACTGTCCAGAGCACCTGCCTCCCTGTCGCCAGCGCCTCCAGACCCCTGTGGTCCGCCGCCACTTCGGTCGCCGATGAGCGGTCGATGTGTGCCCTCCCCTCCCCCACCTCCCTGATCTAAGCATCTGTGCCGTGTCCGCAGGCCTCATACGGGGTGACGAGATCATGGTGATCAATGGCGCGATCGTGTCCGATCTGGACATGATGTACCTGAGTCGGTGCTGCAGGAGGAGCTGGCCCTCTGTCTCATGATGCGCTCCTCGAGGACCGAGGTGAGACCTTGGGCTGCGCCGCCCCCGCAGGCCCGTAGGCTCGTGTGCGGGGCAAAAACACGCGTCTAGTTGTCGAAGCATACGATCGCACAGTATTTGTCTTTTTCTTGATGTCAAATGCTAGTGTGTAGGATTTCAATCAAATGCCATAGGTTAGTGGGCAGATTTTTTATTTGTGTTCGCGAGCACAAACGGACATCTGCGCTTTATTTGTGTCTCTGTCCCGTGTCCTCCTTCTTGCTGGTATGCCAGCTTCAGACGGTTTCACAGAAACTCGTGTTTAGCATGGAGTTCATTGTAAAGATCGGTTTGTCTGGGAAGTCGGTTGTCATGGGATCACTCTACGCTAGCTTTCCGCACCTCCGCCCCTCTGTTAAATCCTCTGCTTCTGACAGCCATTGCATGTGGGCTCATCGTGTGCAGGCACGCACAGTCCCGATGGTGGTGTGCATTATGCATCACCTTCCCGACGGCTTCAATCATGATCGGGCACGCTATGTTGTGTTGGTCGTGCTGTGTGTTGATGGTGATTGCAGTCGGAGCTCTGGCGCACGGCTGAGTAGCAATCTGTCTTTGGGAAATCTAATCGCCTTTGATGCATAACACTATAACTCGTGCGAAGCTGCTGGATGCCAATTGCTGAAGTGAAGGAACTAATCCATTTGTAGTTTTGTTTTCACAGCATGCCCCAGCGCTTCGGCTGCTGCCACCAGGGGTGAAAAAGTTTCTGATTTGCCGCATATGATTGATGACATAACACTTTTGCGAACCAATTGGTGACAAAATTGTCAACATGAAAACATATTTCAGCAGACAAGACCACATTACAGCAGATTATCCCAGCTCGGCGAAACTCAAGGCTTAGTATTGGTCTGTACTCGCTAACGCTTGCAGCGTGAGCACATGTCGAAGCGTTGATGTTTCGCTGTTTGAGCAAGTTGAGCCATAAGATGCTGCCAAACATGGTACTTTAATCAAGCTAGTTTTTAGCAGGTGCCAGAAACATACTTCAAACTATACTATATCAGTGCCGCCATTACAGACCAGTGCAAAGGAGTTCTGGAAAAGAAAATGTTTGGTTGTACCGCATTGCATTTAATTTGCCTTTGTTTTTGTGATTAATTGCATTTAAAGACATATTGCAACGGTTTCTGAACGACTGATCCCAGGCGACAATCAGACGGCTCCAAATTTCGTGGGTGACAGAAAAGGCACTTTTTCACCCCTGGGTGCCATTCTGCCCTGTCTGGTCGTCTCCAACTGTTGCGTTGCGGCAGGTGCCGGACGTGGCCAACCTGATGAAGTCGACGGACGACATCATCGAGCGCCTGGTGTGCCCGCCGCCGCCCTCCGACAACGCCGTCCGGGACGACGACATTAACAACATGATCGTGCCCAGCGTCAAGTCCTGGAGTAAGCCGCTCTCCTGCCGCTCGATCTCCGCCGACGGCCGCCCGAGGCCCCGCGTTTAGCTCTCCCGCCGCACCAGAGCGGTAACTTGGCTGACCTGAGACGGGTCCTATCTGCGGGCCTGAGCCCGGAGCCTATCCGCCGCCGGCAGCGACGCCGAGCTACGCAGGCGGAGAGGGCTCACCGCGCTGACGTGAATAGCTGGATGGCGTGGGCAGGGCGGCCGCCGCACCCTCGCTGTCACTGCACTCGTCCCGGTCGGGCTGATGGTAGCTGTCTTGCAGGTCGAGAGAAGGCGGACATTGAGGGCTGCCCTCCGCCGCCCTCGGACACCTCGGACCGCTCCAACGTCTCGTCTGTCGAGATCGAGAATCTACTCAAGGTACGCAGAGCGCGAGCCGGCGGCCGCGGAGACGGGACTTCCGACGCAGACTCTCCCCCCATGATCAGCGACCGAAGCTTTCGTGTCGGGGGTGGTTTATTGCGTCATAATGTGCAGCCGTGCAAAAAGAAAGGCAGGAAAAGAAGGATGCGTTTATTCTAACATCTGGGGAAGTCATGGATGTTCTCGAACGTATTCGTTACAAAAGTGATCGCGATTCTACGCACGAAATGACACGCGCAAGCCAAGAAGAACAACACTGACGGGTGCTCAAATATCTCGCATCTTTCACCCACTTCATGGCCCCTTAACACCATCTGCTCGTCCCACCGTATGATGGCCGTCCCAGGGCTTTGCCTGGCACGTGTCGCATTTTGAGTGTAGTTTGTCTGCGCCGGAGCGTCCCGTCTCATCCATGACGGGCAACTCCTGTGAAATATTGGCGCTGCATCTCCTCGATAGCCGGGGAATGTCGGGCCGCCAGTGCGACGTTAAACTGGCGGCTGCAGTTTAGCGCCGCCGGCATTGAGCTCAGCAGAAGAGCGCGCCATGAGGGCTCGATATGCCGGGCTGGATGAGCGGCGAGGCCGCGTCCAGGGAGGGCCACCGTTATTGATAGCGGCTGAGCCGCGTCTCCCAGTACGGGATGTGCAGAGAATCGGTTCATGATCCAGATGCGGGGTAGGGTATTACGCAGCCCAGTATACCTGCACAGGATTGCGAACATTAGACTTGTCCTGAGCTTGGTAGGTTCTAATCCCAGTCCCGTGAAATCTTGCATCAGTTACTCATAACGAACCATGGGCCTGCCGAACTAATGGCCGCTGTAGACCCTGCCTGGCACGGTTTGGCGCCACACGAACGGCGTCTCCGGGACCGGCCTGGATATGCACGTGTTTATGTGTCATAGTGTGCGAGGTCGCGCGCGGGGGGATTTCGGAGAGCAGATGTTGCCGGAAAATACCCCTCGTCGGAGCGAAGTCACCGACCATTCTGTGCCAGTGTGGGCGTAGTCGCAGGTGGGTCTCGAAACGTCTGTTGAAGTCCATGGGGCGCCAGAGGCGTGCGCTAGTCCCGCCGGCTAACCGGGCCCTGGCGCCGTCCGCAGAGCGCCACCTTGGTGACGGGCTACTGCCGCTCGCCGGCCGACCCACCGCGCGGGCCCTCGCCCACCTCCAGCATAGCCTCCAGCCAGAGCCAGACCATGACGCCCAGCCGGCATCTGAGCGACGCCGATAAGCTGCGCAAGGTGCTCACGGAACTGATCGACACGGAGCGCACCTACGTCAAGGTGAGAACCGCTGCTGGGGCGCCCTCGTCAGGGTGAGAACCGCTGCTGGGGCGCCTGCGTCAGGGTCAGAACCGCTGCTGGGGCGCCTGTGTCAGGGTGAGAACCATTGCTGGGGCGCCCTCGTCAGGGTGAGAACCGCTGCTGGGGCGCCTGCGTCAAGGTGAGAACCGCTGCTGGGGCGCCTCACTCTAGCTACGGCATGAACTCACTCACCCCCCCGGAGGAGATACGTTTGCTGTCTGGCACGGCCGGCACCACTGAAAGAAGCGTTTGGCCTGGATTTTGCGGCTGCTTCACCTGTGTGCGATTGCTCGATGTTTTAACGCGACGCGCTCCGTCGCTCTGGTCTAGAACTCACTGTCAGAG